TCAATTCTTAATTCCTTTTGAGTAATAAACTCAAATCTGCTCATGTAAAATACAATTTACCCATTCCCAATAAGATTTTCAGTTGAGAAGCATATTACAACAACAATTTATGAGTAATCCAACTTCTTTTCCCTAGATCTATAATTATCAATTATTATTCTCGGAAAGAAGAAGTACAAGAAAATTCGTAATTTCAACATCAACTCTATTCTTTTCACTGAGGCATTAGGTAGTACTAAAAGACTTTTTCAAAATTTACTGGAAAAAAAAGAGATTACAAAAACAGAGTAACAACATAAAATGCGACATAGTATACCGGGACGTTGAAAAGTAGGATCTTTACTCAGAAAATAAAAAATTCAAAGATCATTGTACTATGAAAGAAGCAAAAAAAATAGATTCACAAAAGGGATGAAATTGTGGTTTGCTGCTTTTCACAAAATGCAAGTAAGAATGTTAGAAGGAAAAAGAAGAACTTAGAATCGGATGAATGAAAAAATTTAGCTTATCATTTACCATAATTTGACGGTTAGAATCACATTCGAGCGATTAAGTAGTAACAAAGAGAATAAATAATAACAAAACCACTCCCTTCTTAATGTAAGAAACTTGTAATCTTTGGAACTGTTCTCCAAATCAGTCGTACATAGATCTTAGAGCTTGACACGCTTAGCTGCCGTCTCTCCATCGTGAACTTCTGGAGATGCCATGCTCTTCCTCTTCCGCGACTCATCAACGTTCTCTTTGGCTTCTCCGCTATCTTGTAATATCTGCAAAGAATTCATATAACAAAATTTTGTGATGATTTCGAGTCAGCCTACCTCATATTCATCTCCCTTCAAGGTTTTACTTTCATGCAAAATCACTTTGAGCTCGAGTTTCTGCTGGAAGTCATCGCACATCAACATGGCACCATTTGCAATGGACAGCTCAGACAATGTCTTTGCTTCCAGATCTAAAGAAAGAAATTTATAATGGGAAAAATGGGATAAAATAAGAAGAGTCAATAAAATACTTACCAGCAGTCTCTCCCTCTTCACTGCTGATAATAATGCGTGAAGTGGTCGCTTCCATGACATCAGGTGCCGCCATATTCAGCGCCCCTTTCAAAACCTAAGCAAAGTCTATTAAGCGAAGTCACTTGTCAATACTATTAAGTCCAAAGAATTCAAAGGGCGGTAGAGTCCACAAAAACATTTCTTTAACTTCAGATTATTCTTAAGAAGAGAACACACCTTATCCTGTAAAGCTTTCACAGTCATTTGCTCTGGGTTCATTTTTATATGACATTCACGTTTTGCAGAGCACACGAAACAGTTTGGATTTGGAGCGAAGGGAACTTGGTCAACCAAGATCTGTAAAGAAAATCAGAAGGGCAGGTTTGTATCCACAGAAACAAAGAAATTTGAAAAATGATCAATATGTTGATATCGAACATCAAAGAAGATAGGCTCACCTTCCCTCTAGGATTTGGCGCTTGATTGATGAACACTGCTCTGAGCTTATCCAAGTCACCAGATATTATTTTCAGTGCCTCGACAACCACCAGGCCAGCTACGATGGCGTTAGTAGTCGCGATGGCAGGGATTATATTTCCAGCCATTGCTGAGATATTATCATCATTTAAAGATACATACAATAACAGAGAAGACAGATAAGCAAAAACTCACATTTAATCTCGAACAAAGATTTACGCGGGATGCCAAAAATCGTAGCGCGGATGTTTGCCGATGATGCCACAAAACGCATTGCATCTTCATCGTCTTTATCCCAATGCAGTATAGAGTTTTCCGTAAGAGCACTCTTACGTCTGCTTAGCGCTGTCACACTTTGGCAAAACACATCTGCACATTCAGCCAATGACCATACCTGTAACAACCGTAGCATGCCCGGGTGAAGGGAAAATGCAAAGCGAATCAGCAAGTGCTGGCTCTATAAACCAGGAGTGTTTTCGCATCATCCTCTTAGTATTTTCACAGACGATCAGAAAGGATAATTGAAGCCATTCAGATAATGGGAGCTTTCCATAACCACTTCGAACGCGTGAAAATTCAACGGTATACAATATGAGATTACGTCTGAACTAAGGCGGACGAGTTGCACCCTCACTTGACTAATGGTCCTGATTTAGAGAAGCTGATAAAAAACGCTGCACACGCGCGCCTACAGAGAAAGGTTGAGTGGGCGAGCGACCAAAAAGCGAGGTGACCGTCTGGTCTTCCTGCTCGCATACATTCGTTCAAACTGAGATTAAGCTTAACTGAGAGGTTACCACCATAATCTGTAGAAAAAGAAGACGAAAGCGAGGAAAAACAGATGGATCCAGTCAAGAGGTGAGATGAACAAAGAAAAACAAGATGAGACTAAGAGATTCCAAAAGTAGATCAATTCTTGGAAGGCATCTTAGCAAATAGAAAATTTATATGTGAATTAATTTTGGTATCAAAATAGAATTTTGCTCTATCGAATTCTGTGGGCTGTTTTCAAATTAAAAAAGGAATCAAACAGTGAAAGCAAATAAGAAAACCGTTTTTGACTAGAGATAGTACAGAAAAAGGAATGGGTAAGAAAAAAGTGCACAGGTCAGCAGGAAAAGATAAATCACAC